AAAGGGGCGGGGGGAGGGAAACGTTAGCGGGAGAACGGGGGGAGCTGAATACAGCGGAAACGGCAGAAGAGGTAAACTCTGGTAATTTCAGTGATGGCTGGGCTTAGACCTCTCTATATCCAGTGAGTAACGCAAACCCCTTGGCGCAAGTCCTTCCACCTCGTGGTCCCTGAAACTCAACCCACTCTTCTCCTCTCTTTCTAATCCCACCCTCCGGGTTCGCGCTCATCCCTGTGTCCCTCTCATCTCATGGGAGGCGGAGGATAGCTCGCGAACCTCGGCCGCCGTAGCTGGCTGGCTAATCAGCGAAGTGTATAAAGTCCCGGGGATGAAAATAAAACGGGCTGGATCTCGAAAATTAAATAAATGACTCGCCTCGATTCCGTCGGCGAAAACGTGCCTCCGTGAAAGAACTCGAGAGTGACAGACGAGGGACGACTGCGAGAGAAACCGGAGAGAAAGATAGATGGAGAGAGAGAGAGAGAGAGGAAGAGAGTCGAAGAGATCGGTACAGTAGGGCCAAGCGAGGGACGGAAGAGGGCGAACAGAGAGCGAGGGGTGGGAAAAGGAGGACGAGGGAAACGGACCGAGAGATAGACGTGGATAAATAACGAGAAGGAAAGAAGGGGCAGAGGATACACGAGGCAAAGGGGAACCACTTATTCGAATGAAGTTGCACCAGCGGCAGCTCACTTGCTTCAGCTCGGCCGGAAGTGCCGAAAGAGGGAATTGAAGTTTCCTGATATCCACGGCGTTCCTTCAAGCCACGGAGCTAGTACCATGCCGCTGGACTGGGTTTCGGCCTAACACAGCCCCGGCCGGTTGAGCTGCTGAAATTTTATTACGCTCCGGTACGCTCGGTCTCGTTTCGTAATGAGCGCATTGTCGTGCAAACGAGACACTTCAACCGGGGCAGCGTCTCCGTCGCGATGCCCTGAGACACGCCAGGCCGGGGCTCTTCTTTCACCAGCGAGTACTCTTTTGTTCCGTTACACCGACAAGAAGTCGGGGGATTGGCTACGGGCGCCTGTGCACGAAGAACACACCATGGACCCTGGGAGCTTGTAATTGCTTCGTCGAAGTTTCGCGAAATTTCGCGAACCCGTTCGTCTTGTGAACTTGAAAGGAATACCAAGTTTCGTGGTAGTACTTGGGACGAAGAAAGGGAGCCCGTGGACGAGTTTCGGTGCTGTCTGAAGCTCGCTCGAACGGAGAACGGCGGCGGCGAATCGCTTGTCCGTGGAATAAGGTGGAGAGAGAGAGAGAGAGAGAGGGAAAAAAACGAAAGAAATATAAGTCATAGAGGGAGGCGAGGGGTGAACGAGGGAGCAGCGAG